GTGGGGGCCACTGAAAAACCAGGGGTGGCACACCAAAACTAATATCCATAACATAAAAGTTATGATGCTGTTGTAAATATGACAAATTGAAAACTATGGCAATATGAATGGTATGGATTTGCCAACAGATGTTCAATTTGTTATTTTACAGAAATATAATTAATTCTGTGACGTCTAGAAACAAGAATAATAACTGTCTGCACTTCCACAACAGTCCAGTTTCTAAAGTGTTCTGTATCTTTTCATGGAGTACCATAAATTGTCCTCACATTGTTATATACAGTATTTCAGTGGCAGAGGTATTCCTAATGTTAATGGGGGACACACTGGCAGGGGGTCTGGGGGTCCTCCCCAGAAAATATTGAATGAAGTAGATGCCATTTTCTGCATTCTGGTGTATTTTAACAGGTTGTTAAACAGACTTTTACCTACATAGAAAAACACTTGGTGTAAGTATTCTATACATCAAATAGAATTAAATTATTTGTCAAGCAATAGAAACAACACTGGGTGAAGTAATATTTTATGGTAAATATGGGGGTTCAGATTAATTAAAATTTAAATGTGATGGGGATGCTCCCATTCACAAACGATAACTGTGATGCCTGACATTTTATTTAAAAAAGGCAAAATATACATTCTAAAAACATTTACAAGGAACAAACTTTCTCAATTTTAAAGCCACCTCTTCTATGTTACACGTTTTATTTGTTGATGTTTACTTTGTGAACAAAAACTGTAATTATAAAAACCCAAAACTAAAAATAAAGACTAAATACTATATACACAATTGTATCTACTGTAGAATCATCCCTAGCTATTCATTTACTTGCTTTTTCATGACATATTCGTTTTAATAAATATGATTTTGGTCTGTGAGAGAAAACTAAAGTACCTGGAGAAAACCCACTCTTGCATGGGGAGATCATGTAAACACAACCCAGAAAGTGTATATAGTAACCATAGAGCAGAGGTGGGCAATCCTGGTCCTTGAGGGCCGCAGCCCTACATGTTTTACGTTTTTCCTGCTCCAACACACCTGATTCAGTCACTGATTTACCTTCCAAGTTCTGCAGTATGGAGGACCAAAACTGACATAATTATAAATAAAAGCAGAAATATATAAATAAACCACTAAATAAATAAATATACTTAAAGAACTTGCCCCAAAATTAACTTTTTTTTAGCTGATAAACTGCCTAGAATGTGTCTAAAATGTTATATAGTACTGTTTC